TTTTTGTTTAAAACAATGTTTTTTGTTTTATGTTTTCAAGTAAAATAAAAAAAAACATGTTTCAAATAAGCAAAAAATATATTGATTGTTTAATATCTAAAAATAAACATTCTACTAAAATAATACTCATTTTAATATTTTTATTTCATTAAACAATAGTTTAAAAATATTTAAAACATAAAACATATTTAAAACAGTGGACATTGTTTTAAACAAGTTTTAATAAAACAAAAACATATTTAAAATATGCCAACTCTGGTTTAGATCAAACGTATACACTTATAATTAGTGTCAACGTGTGTACAATATTTATACTCTATTTACACTTAAAGAGAATCCTACTTGTAGCTTATTTCAGTGAGTACCCAGGTAGCAAGCATATCATTTTGACGTCGAATGACATTAAACGTATATAAAAATGACGTTAGTTTGCTACTTAGGTAGTATAAGCGAATTAAAAAAATAAAAACAATACTTTTAATTTCTTTGTTGAAAGTTTCTCAGCGTAGAGTTTCAATTGAACAACTCGCGCAACAATTATTTAACGCCTTCTTATTCTCTTTAATTCTCTTTTTCATCTTTTATGCTATCTTTTTATCGCGATATACATGTAAGCATATTACCACAGCAGCAAGCATATATGTTTATCCATATTGACTGATTCATAAAAATTGGATGATCCACCAGAGTAAATTCCCAATCTTAAGCATAAAGAGGTGTAGACAGATACGACACTTTTTGTCAATACGTAGACACAAATAAATGTACAACACTATTCTAAAATTGCAATACTTACTGCGTGTGGACGGTGAAGACGTGAAGACACTATTCTAGACACAAATGTTCACTCTAGGTGTCGCTGTGTATACAGTGTTTACTGTTATCTAAATAAAATTATATAGATGATCATCTAGATGAAAATTTACCATCATCTTATCTTTATATAGATAATAAAAATATGTATTATCTATACCTATATCTTAGATAAAAAAAAATATTTTTACTAAATTATCTGGAATAATTTTCCGATAATTTTGGTTTAGAATTATATAGCACATAAAAAACTTAAATAATAGAACTTAAGCAGTAAGCGATAAAAATTTATAAATAAAAGTATGAATACATATATTTTTATATCACTTTTATAATTTACATTTTTTTATAACTGTGTGTTTACATAAGTAGTCTTAAAAATTATTATCTATAAAATTATTTAGATAAATAGCCATATAATTTTATCTTTTATCTAAATATATTTAAAACAAAATCATCTTTATCTTATCTAAGATGAATTTATATATTTTTATCTCATCTTTATCTAGCTAATTTTAAAATCATCTAAGCACACTGTATGTAATCGCTCTGCGATCCGTGGCTCAAGGGCAGAGTATCTGTCTATTGAGAGGATAGATCTCCCACGATTGAGTTCTGGTAGAATCCCCGACACTTTTTTTGCTCAAGAAAGGCTTACATAGATGTTAAAAACGTGTAACATGCGCGCGCATACGATTTACATTAAGCCAAGTTGTGTGTAACTTAAGAGGATTATCTCGATTAGGCTCATTTAGACTATTAAAAGTAAAGTGGCGCAGGAAATGATTACTACCGTTTTACATGACATGATTAATATATAAGATCGTTCCTTTTTCTATTTTACTTAAAAAAATGTGTGTCGTAATCTTGTAATATTACCTCTACTAGTCTCTTTTCTGTCAGTTTACAATGTAAAAACGGACATGCATAAGTGAAGATTAGATAGTACAAAACTTGTCTCTCTTTTCATCGCTTATCTGTTTAAAAAGTTTCCTGCATTATTAGGGAAATTTTTTCGTTCCTCGATTATCTTATAATTAAAAAGAAATAAGAAAAACGAACATAAAGATAAAGATATTTATTAGAAATCAACGCGCATTAGTTGTGTGATTGATTGAAAAACTCGTCATAAGAATAATCCACATGCTTTTTTATGCAATTTATGAAATATAAAAAGAAAGTACACATATATGTATACATATATGTATACTTATAAAAAGTGATATATCTTAAGTAATAAATCAACTGTAATAAGATTGATTGATTTATTTGACATATTGACTGTTATATGTCAACTGATTATGTAAAGAAAAATAAAAACTTATCGAAGAAATTATTCTAACAATTTTGTGACACATATACAGAGTGTTTCTTAAGTATAGTAGGTACAAAAAATTGAAGAAGATATTCTTTGGTCTATTTTATGAAGACAAATTCTATAAACATATGTCAAATCATTTTGTTTTCAAAATACAAAATGTCAAAGTTGTGAAAAAATATAAAAATTTTGAAACTCTCGAAAGCAATATTTTTAAAAAATTTGATACATATGTTCTTAAGAACAATTTTCTAGTATCAATGAAATATTTTTAGATTCACTAGAATTGTGCGTATAAAAAATCACATTTAGCTTTTTAATGGTACCTTACAGTTTCTTTCTAAATTTAATAATTTTTAAATAATTCCGGACTTAAATTCTAAAAATTGCCTCTTGAGTTTTTTAAAATGATGAATTGTTTTAGAGTTAAAATAAAAAATTGAAATTAAAAACTGTAATTTAAAAGCTGATAATTATGTGTATTAATAAATCATCTGCTTTATTCTGTTTGGTGTTTTGAAGATTTGGAGTTTGATAATTCTATATATTCTCCATATTTTTTACAACTTTGACATTTTGATTTTGTATTTTAAAAACAAAGCAGCTTAAAGTATGTTTGTAGGATCTTTTCTTCATAAAATGAGTAAAAAATATCTCCTTAAATTTTTGAATTTATTTAGGAAACACCCTGTATATGAGTCATGATACTATCGTGCAAAACAGAATTGTCATTTTTCATATTTCAAATTATCCCTCAATCGGTATTTCAACATGTATTGATCACGAGATTAAATACTGCGCACGCTATAGATTAATTAAGAAATTAATCAATAAAAAGACTTACGTACAGAGGGACAACTCGCGTATTTAATTGGTGAACGACAATATACGTTGTTAATAATGGAATAATACCAAAGAAGTCGACGTCTATTTTTATTGGCTGCAAATGCTTTTTCAGCGAAAAAGAAACGTGTGTACGGCAAGAAAACGAACAAGACGTATATAAAACGTAAAAATATATGAGTAATCGTATATTATTTCAAGTCAATAATGCTTAATGATCTGCATATTTCGCATTTCCGTACTTACTTGGCGCTGAACAGAAAATTGCATTTACATATTTCTGGTCAGTATAAATTGGCACGTATTGGGATATATTCGATGCATTTTGATAATATTATTTTGTTTTAAAGCAACTGTCATCGTTTCGTGAATAACTCATCAATACAATCATGATATATAGCGTCAATATATAGAAACAAAGCACACGTGTCGAATATTTCTCGAATATACACGCATATTATTAACCAATTTTGGTATAAAAATAGTTTTATTTAAAAAAAAAAATTAATTAATCTAAAAATTATGTTCAGACAAGTTTATCATTCTTGGATGAAAGATATCACTGTATAATATTTCTCTTCTGTAAGACTTTATTATTGCTTTATATACAATACTTGGCGAGAGGCGCTATAGCACTTCTTGATAATATACTGGCTTCATTTATGTGTCATCATGTAAGTCCAGACAGGATAATGGACTTTTATTATGACATCTCTTTGTATAATACATGTGTTATTACACGTATTCGAAAAACATACACATACTGTATATATTATATATACACTTTGTACATACTTACGTATATTTTACATTTTGCGTGATCTTTTATTGTTAGTGTTGCTACAGATTCAATTTCATTACTTTTCTGATAGACCATGCATATATTCCATAATATACTCTGTCAGCACTAGACGTCACAAGTCACTAGTCACAAAGTCGCAAAAAAATATGATACGTCTTTTGCACGTTGCCGCGACGTAACGTATATAAAAGAATTTAATTAATTGATATGTTGGATTGTTTAGTTTTGTAGTTGGTATTTATAAAAATAAATTGAAATAAGAATATATCTTATTTTTAAAAATTAAATTTAACACGAAATTGTTACGTCGCAAAAACGTCGCAACGTGACAATTACGTTTCGAACACTAGTTGTGACGTCGTTACAACGTAACGTGTGACGATTAGCAAGTCATAATGACGTATTTGACACGTACCGGTGCTGGCAGGGTACATATTTATATAATTAAACATATTTAAAATAGTGGAATAACTTCCGTGTCGATAGTGAAATAAAATTACAAGATACATTACGAACGACCCAACTGTCAAAAAATACTTTCTTTATTCTTATGATGTCACATAGACGACGTTTTGACCCTTTGGGTCCTTTTCAAGCCTTAAAATAACGAATTAAAACAAATTATAATTCATAATCACAAATTGAAATCAAATAACTGTTAAACATACCTTAAATATAATATAAAATCAGACGTGAAAATATTTATATTACTATATTTCGGTTACGGTCAATGTTGCGCTTAGATTTAAAAATTAGCAAGATAAAAATGAGATAAAAATATGTAAATTTATCTTAGATAAGATAAAGAGATAATTTTATTTTAAATATATCTAGATATAAAAGATAAAATTATATAGCGATTCATCTAGATAATTTCCAGATAATATTTTAAGACTGTTTATGTAAATAGTTATAAAAAATGTAAATTATAAAAGGGATATACAAATATATTTAAATTCTACTACTTAAGTATTTTTATGCGGTATAATTTTAAATCAAATTATCTGAACATTATTCTAAATAATTTAGTAAAGATAACACTTTTTTTCATGTAAAGATATGCAGATGCAGATAATGCATATTTTTATTATCTATATAAAGATAAGATAATGCTAAAGTTCCATCTAGATGATCATCTATATAATTTTATTTAGATAACAGCAAACACTAGTCACAGTATTTTTATTAAGTTTTGAAGCATGTTTTCACTGTCATCTTTTACAGATGGAACTGAACAGCAGTCCGATTTCTGCGCAGAAGAAGAATTCCATTCATGACAATGAAACAGCATTCAAGCAGGCACTTGGGTAAATATATTTATAATAAACTGTGACGTGGTCGTCCCGACGCACGTGCACTCCCTGACGCGGGACAGAAAGTCGAGCGGCCACGCCAAGAGAGCAAGAGAGAGAGCGAGAGAGAGAGAGAGGAGAGAGAGAGAGAGAGAGTTAGTGGCGCAAAAGTATATGATTAGTAACGCGTTTTATTTTTATTTTTTTTATGTATTATTCGGGAGCCTTGCTGAGAGGATAACGTATTTACATCGAGAGATTGTCGAGGAAGTCAATAAAAGCGGCAAACATAGGGCTAAAAAATATTCACGAAGGATATGGCCGACCTTGCAAGCCCACAAACAAAGTCAGCTTAAGGAATTCGGCCGGGAGGCGAGGGGACTGCAGAAGCGCACCCGCCAACAGGCGCAGAAAGGGTTGGAAACCCGCGGAGAATCTCCGCACCCCCGCATCCTTTCCGATAGGACTCCGCCGGCCGAATACCCTAACGAGATAACCAGCGATGCGAGCCCGCGAGAGGCTCGATGTATTGTTAAAAATTCGGTAGATTTATAAAATAAAAATTAATTATCGCGAGAAGTACACCAAGATTATCCCTTACGCTGTGTTACTGTCACGCGAGTAAGGAAAATCGCGGAAAACCCTAACTGGCTCTCGCGCGTGTTACCCCCTACTCGTCGAATTCGCCCGGCTACCTCCACTAAACAAATTTGCCAGTATATCTCAGAAATATCTATGAAACATGTCGGTAACCCTAAATGTCCTACCTCTTTTATGTTACATATGGGATGTTCTATTTGCGACGTTCCTGAAACCATTTAGATTCTTTAAACGTTTCAGGAACGTCGCAAATAGAACATCCCATATGTAACATAAAAGAAGTAGGACATTTAGGGTTACCGACATGTTTCATAGATATTTCTAAAATATACCGGCTTTGTTTAGTAGGGCCGATAGCAAGTCGGAAGATTTGGCAGATTGGTCCGACTTAGACGTGTTGAGAGAGTAAGGGAAGAAGCTCGGAGGAAAAATGGATTTAGAGATTTGGTGAGGCCCAAGGACCAGGAGAGAATTTTTCCGGTGAGGCTATCCTGTCTAAGAGTCACGCAAGTAACACGTCCGCTCCTTGTGAATTCCGAGCCTTGACCGCTCTGGCCCGATCGCCATATTTAGTGTAGTAATTTAGCGTGTGGGCTAAGCCCATTGTCGAGATTAAATCTTGGTGATTTAGCAAGTGCAATTGGAGTCAAGCGGCAAAGAGCTTTGTGATATTTAGCGTCGTTATCTTCGCGAAAGCTACGTCTCTCCGGGGTTTTATTGTTGTTGCGCTTTTTCTTGTGTTTGTATGATTGCGTTTGTGATAAGTATTGGTGCTTTCCATTTAGCAACACAAGTCGACACAAGCATCATTCTATCTTTATTCTTATAGAATGTAGAACAAAGATAGAATGACGCTTGTGTCGTTTTGTGTTGCTAAATGGAAAGCACCATATGTCGAGTAATTCGTGTGCGAATGTGTGAAGCGAATCGCGTAATTGTAAGCTTGTTCGTCGCGTAATTCGGGTGTCGTGTATAGTATCGCCGAGAAAGAAAAGACAGCGCGACCGCGTGCGAGAGCGCGAAAGCGACAAGGACAGAGAGTGCGTGCACGCGAGAGTGAGAGACCGCGATAGTCGGAAACTGCAGGCCACCTGCAAATTCGCATCGAATCTAAATTTATTGCCTGTCAACGGGATTTTTAGCTCTCTGCTTGTCGAGAACCTTTAGAATCTAATTTTTGATTCTCATGAGAACCGAACGCTTTGTTTCACTCTTTCATTTATGTCTTATATTATCCCAGCAAACACAGTATATAAATGTTATATACTCAAGCATGTTACATGTGACGTATATGTTAGTTGTAATTTCCCACTCATAGATGTAACATTTTTAATATTACATATATTACATTGTAGTTATATTGTCATTATATCCCAAGATAGCACTGACTTATCAATACATCAATGTGCTATTTGGTATATAATTACAATATAACTACAATGTAATATATGTTATATTAAAATGTTACATCCATGAGTGGGAAATTACAACTAACATGGATGTTACATGTAACGTACACGTTATATATTACCTGTTATATTCCGTTTTATTATAGCAATGTAACAATTATATATCGGTGTTTGCTGGGATACGATTGTCGCATACCTGACGTATGTAAAGTTATATTTCGAGCCTAGCTTGTTGCAGTATTTTTCTTACGATTATATTTGATTGGTTCTGGCGTAGTATCGTCAGTTTAATTGGTTATTGGAATTATTTTTTACATTACGGAAATTATAGCGAATTCTTTTCTTTTTGTATTATTTTTTTCTCTACGTTGTAAAACCAATAATTATATTTCTCTCTAATTTTTCAAATTATTTAAATTATATTATCTGCTATAATTACTTATCTTTTCTTATTGTAATAAATCTGAAATTGTTTTATATCTCAACCTCGCGTCTCTTAATCTTCTCTGTCTCTTCGTGATGTCGCGCTCATTACATGCTAATCCGTATGATTATTTTCACGTGACTTCGAGTGAACTACTTATTATTTTTTCGTGGCAACCATACCCTGCCCCTCTGCCATTAGGTGAGCAGCCGATCCGTCGCGGAACTTCCGGCCGGATATTCGCGTAATTTCATGTGTCGCGAATTGACACGTGCAAGACCATATCTGGCGTCCAAAATCGAGTGATTTCGCGTATCCGTCGGCTGGCGTTCCGCTGCGGCACGTGCGGAGCAACCACGTTCCTAGTTTCCGCGTAATTATTTTCTAAAGAATAATTAAAATTTTTTTTTTTGACAACGATTTCTGCTCGTCTCGTTCTCCGGGCGAAAAAAGTTGTCGCAAAACATATAAGTAATCCTTGTAATGCATATATGTATATGCATAATTTTCTCTGACAATCTTTCTCAGATCTTTTAATTAAGTCGATATTATAAATAATTTATTATAAACATAGTTTTATCTAATAATTGTATTATTCACTTTGCACATATACATTATATATTACTTTTTTGACTAATCATAATTTTCTTTAATTGAATTTGTTCTAATTACATTAATGAAAAAGAGTGAAAAGAGAAAATTATTATGTAATGTTGTTAAATTAATTGATAATTAATAGTTGTTAAATGAATTAATAATGTGAGATGTTATAAATAGATATAGATAATAATTGATTACGGATTAGTATATAATCGTGTGTTGCATTATTAATTGATTGATCACGCTCTGTCGTTCAATTATCTCGTTGAAGCATCGAATTATTAAGTTATATAATTATTGCGAATGATTGTCAAATAACGTTACGATCTAGCATTATGCGATTGTTAATAAGCAAGTTTAATAACGAGTTTTGTCATAAATTATATCAGTTTTTTTAAATTCAAATTTAAATTTTATTTTATTAAGTTTTATTTGAAAAGTAAGTCTAGCCGTGTGAATCATTATACTATAATATCAGAATAAATTGTTGCATTTAGATTAGAAAAACGATATATCCACTGAGCTAAATCATCTCTGTCTCGAATTTGCAGACATATTATATATCATGTGTCACATCGTTACCAAGAATGACATATTGGCATAATTATCATACCTATCGGATTCAAAAAGTATGTTTTTCTCTCGTTTACATCACATAAATGTTAATTGTGGAAATTTAATTATCTCGCTTGAAAATCACAGTATATGCGCACACGTGCGCATATCCGGCAATTAACGCCATTGTTACATGGATAAGCATTTAAAATATCAGGAGATCGTTACATGCTGCGACATGTCAACTTAGAAATATAACTTTTTCATTCTTGGCGATTAAATAGAACTTAAAAACACCATAATCGCGCAAATTAAAATTAAAATTAATTATTTATGTTATTTAATTGTATTATATTTAATTATTAATAATATATATCTTGATTTTTTATATCAACTTTTTTTTATTACAGAAATGGCGGGACGTACGGAGCTTTTCAATCGAAAGATCCCATCTTAGCGATGGAAAAAGGCGGGGATCCTATGAAGGGCGGAAGTAATGAGCATGGTATCACCGTACACCATCCTACTTCGTAAGTTTGATATTAATAAAAAAAGAACAAAGAAACGGCTAAACTTTTTTTTAATAATAGGCAATTTATAAATACAAGTCACATACATTATACATAAATATTAGCAAAGGTCGTATCGATAGAAATGCAAAAATATTTAGCATATGAGGTATACATGCGACGAGAATGATATCTTGTACATCCTAAAAGTAAGTAAAAAAAACACAAACAAATTTTATCTCAAATAAATATGATAGAGATACATAAATGTGACAAGTATATGACAAATGATTGCGAAACGCTAGAAACGGAAGTGAATACTTTGCTACGTTGCTATAATATCCTGATAAAATAGTTAATTCACTCTGTGTATGAAACGTGCGAAGCATAACTGCTTTTTTCCGGGAAAAGTCATATTTTGCCATAATGTTACGTTGGTTTGACATTGTGGGTTTTCTAAGTTTCTTTTTTTTAACGCAGTTATGTAAAAGTATATATATGTATATATTTATACACGTATGAGTAAATCGTAAAATTCGTCTTTTAGCAATACTGTAAAAAAAATAAGAGAAAAAGAGATAAAATTGAACAAATATTTTTTGTCTTGAGATTGCGATCGATTCGCGTAATGTCTACATTTAACTCGTTACTTGTTATCATTGGAAATCATAAACGTAGGTTTTTGCGCGTTCAAAATATTTTAAGTTTAAAATTTTTTAAGTTTAAATTGAATTAATTTTATATTAAAAAAAACGAAGTTTACGAAATAAACATGATGAAAACAACACTTCAAAATATCACCTCAATTTGTACAAATAATTATAATAATTAGTGTTATGTAAATCACTAGATGATTTAAAACTAATGATTTTATAATCACAAATACAAATTTGTTATCAACATATTAATAAAAAAATATCATAATTATCAGAATTTAATTGTAATCTCTATTTCTGGGAAATTCTTGGGAAATTACAAACAATCATTCGTATGATATATCGTTTGAATCAAAGGGCACACACGCGCCTAAACTTATTTAGGCGCAGCCAGACAATAAATATAGAATAAATAAACCGAAACATATACAAGTTTATAACGATGAATCTGCACAAAATTAAATAAAGTCGATGACTCTGGCAGGATTCCAAAGTTTCGGGTCTTTGGTTTATTTTAAATGATTTCTACTGCTTGGCACATTTGAAACGCATGCCAAACGTTCATAGGTACGATCACATTTTGATTTATAACTATAATTGCGTGTTAATTCTCTCACTTTGCAAATGCTCATATATATTCACTATTTCTCGATTGGACTTTTGCGTTAAGTCGAAAAGAAGTCGAACGTACTAATGGACGATTGGACAACTGCAGGTACCTGGAAACCATGATGCATCTGTTCAAGGGTAACGTCGGCTCGGGGATCTTCGCGTTAGGAGATGCTTTTAAGAATGCTGGATTGATGCTTGCACCACCATTGACGATTTTTCTCGGCATTATCTGCGTACACGCTCAACATATTCTCGTACGTATACCTTGTAATTAATAATTATAGTGTTATCGCGTATATGATGCAGGAAGTTGTGCGTTTGTTTTCTATATGCCAAAAGATCTAGGTTCAAATCCAGGCAGAAATTATACATCTTGGATTTTTATGGTATTTGATCGCCACCTCTCGGCAAGTAATGGCAAACCACTAAGAAGAGTCCCAGATAACACCATGTCCAATATTAGTGTATAAGATATTAAGAAATCTTTAAGAAATCTCATGATATGATATCCCCAAAGACATCTTAAAGATGTCTTATGCACCAATTTTAGACATAGTGTTGTCTGAGAGTATCTTAAAAAAACTCCTTCAATCTGGCTTTATTCAGAACCGACGCAAAATTGTAGATTGTTGTTCTATATTTAAAAAATTAAAAATTAAAAAATAAAGAGATCATCACTGACAAGACTTCTGACAAAAATGTAGAAGAGAGAAGGATACCCACTGTTTACACTCCTTATTTTAAAAGAGCAGCAAGACTGCTACGATAATATACCAAATATGGTAAGAAGATATAAGGTGTCCTAATGCTATTGGATATTCTATACATAAATGAAAAACAAGATATATATTTTCGTCTCTCATATAAAAAAAAATATTACAGTTTTAATAATCACAATATTTTTATGAGTATATTAAAATATGTATATATTAAAAAATATATATACATATAATATTGTAATATATTAATTTACAGATATACAAAATCACTCTTGATAATTATTATAATTTCTTTTTTAGATTAAATGCAATAAAGAGATGACACGTCGTGTTGGTAATGAAATGAACGCAACAGGATTCGCCGGAACTGTGGAGATGTGTTTTGCTACCGGACCTCTTGGACTTCGTAAATATTCGAGCCTTATGAGGTGTGTAATAAATAAAAGAATGAAAAACTAGAAAGCCAAATAACAAGAAACATCTGCAAATATAATCATACACATAGTCATTTTATTCCCACTTATACATACATATTCTTCAATTTATTTAAGTGCTATTTGCACAAATTTCTTTCAATTTATCCACATTTTCTTTTTTCTTTTATACACATTTTTTAATTATTTTTTCTATGATTTCATATATGGTATTAGCGCGCTGCAAATATGCATGTCATTTATGTTGCATTCTTGTGATTTTGTTGCAGAAAATTGGTTAATATATTTTTGTGTATCACGCAACTCGGATTCTGCTGTGTGTATTTCGTTTTTATTTCCACGAATATGAAACAGGTGAGACACATCTCCCACCAGCTATATATTAATTTTTTGAATCATAATGCTTTAGTATTTTTTTTTATTTATTAATCACATGTCTATTTTTATCGCAGATATGTATAAAAATCACTAAAAAGTGCTTGACTAAAGAACAGCTATATATATTATCACTTACAATTAATAATATTTTTTAATAAAAGAGCAAGATCAGAAAATTGTACGCGTCTTAATTTGACATATTCATACATTTAGCAATAAATATAAAAAATAAACTTTCAGAGAAAAAAGAGAGAGAATTTCTCTTAAAAAAGAACTTATTATAGGTGCTAGATGCACACGGAATCGAGATGGACGTTCATCAGCACATGGCTGTGGTGTTGATACCCATAATGCTTAGCACTTGGATCAGAAATCTCAAATATTTGGTGCCAGTATCTTCGATAGCAAATTTCTTAGTGATCTCTGGTTACATCGCTACTATATATATTATGAGCCATGACGTACCGTCCATACATGAAAGGAGGTATGTTGCGGATTGGAACAACTTACCTCTGTTTTTTGGCACTGTGATATATTCCTTTGAGGGTATTACTCTAGTAAGTACAGATATTTTCAGAATGACATCCAATTGGACACATTGTTTATTGGTTAACTGAATATATATATGACTTTTTGATTGGTCAATCGTGCTAGTTCCAGGTACTGGTCAATATCGGTGATTGTGTCCATTTGGATCTCTCCTCAATACTATCATTTCGTCTTATTTTAGTTTTTACTATCTTTAATATCTTTTGACTCCGGTTCGGATAAAATAAGTCGATATGTTTTGTCAATATCGATGCTTTTTGACGGTGTGTTTCTAATAGGCGTTGATATGCAGGTACTGCCACTGAAAAACGAAATGAAGAATCCTAATAATTTTAATAAGCCACTGGGTGTTCTCAATGTTGGTATGGTGATAGTTACCGCTATGTTCGTCGCAATAGGTTTTCTGTCTTATTTGAAGTACGGTGACGAGGTTGCTGGTTCAGTCACGCTCAATCTCGCGCAGGAGGGAGTGTAAGTATTTATCGAATTTATCTACGTAATTATATTTTTATTTATGGATCGAGTTTTATAACAAGACTCAAAACTTATCTTGTCAAGAAGAATTATTATATCAATTCGATAGATAATTATTTCAAGACCAAATCATATATCAAAATTCGCTCAGTAAAGCTTGCAGATTTTGTATATAATGTGTGTTGTTTACATATAATTTGAAAGATGAATTAATGTAATTAAAAAATTTTGTAATATGCATTTTTCTTTATGTACTTCTTTATTTATGTAGGGCCGGGGAAGCCATCCTCAGTCAAATAAGGTTTTTATCTGATACAATGTTTGCCGTGTTTAATAAATACTAGCTAAGAGTTTAATAAATATTAGCTTCGTAAATACGAGAACTTGACAGAGACATGTGCTTTGGGCATGTTTTCATTCAAGAGCATGTTTTAATTATTAATTATAGAATAAACGACACCTATCTATCTTTATTCTTTCCCCCACATATACATGTATATAGCTTTTTCTTTCTACATATAAGAAGGAATGTCTATTCTCTTTCGCTAACTCTTTTTCGAACTGAATTTTTCTGCAGTTTGCCGCAATGCATCAAGACAGCCATCTCATTAAGCATTTTGCTTACATATGCTTTGCAATTTTATGTACCGATTGCAATAATGTGGCCCGGCATTGTCAATCGATTCGGTCCCTTCAAGTGGCCGGTACTCACGGAGATTATCTTCCGGTCTGCAATATGTTTTATTACATGTAAGTATCTCAGAGATTTACTAAATTATATTACTTGTATTATTAAAAATTTTTATCCAATATATATACACTCCTCAAAATAACTAAGGGATCAAAAAAATTGTTCAAAAAATAGACAAATTTTAAATTGCTGAAACTTTGTTTCAAAAAATGATAATTTAAATTTTAAAAAAGAGTTTTAAAGCTTGAAATCTCTATTTTCAATGGTTTACAGTTTTTTTTATTTTCTTCAATCTGATATTTTTACATATGGCAAACGATAAACATAACGAAATGGAAAATTTCTTCCCACTTTGTAGACATATGTCGCATAAGAAGATATAATAAAATTTTTTGACACTTTCATGTTAAAATCTGAAGTTTTTCCTGGAAAATCGTTTTTTTTTAAATTTAAATTTCGATCTTTCCTTATCAAGTTATCGTAAATTGAAGAGAAAATGTTATTTTATTTCATTTTAATTGTCCATAATCAAGGGTCTATTCTGATTAGTTAGGTAAAAAAAAATAGCCGATTTTTGTGAATTTTTGTAGAAAAAGTAAACAACCTAGTAACTAAAATATTTTATATTGTATTTATTACACTTTAAAGTATATTTAAAAAAAATTTCAGTAGATTTTATTAATTTACTGCAGCGGAATATAGAGCAGCCGGAATCTCCGCGCGCCAACCTGGCGAAAGTCCTCCAGGTCTTAAAATTTGTCTGAAACAGCCAACCAATCGATTTTTCTGTTAAGAATAAATGTAATTCTGGAGTCTATTCCAGAATTACATTTATTCTTAACAGAAAAATCGATTGGTTGGCTGTTTCAGACAAATTTTAAGACCTGGAGGACTTTCGCCAGGTTGGCGCGCGGAGATTCCGGCTGCTCTATATTCCGCTGCAGTAAATTAATAAAATCTACTGAATGTAATAAAATCTACTAAAATTTTTAAAAATATACTTTAAAGTGTAATAAATACAATATAAAATATTTTAGTTTCTACATTGTTTACTTTTTCTACAAAAAATTCACAAAAATCGACTATTTTTTTGACCTAACTAACCAGAATGGATCCTTAAAATTATTGTACAGCAATTTTAAGAATGGATTCTTAAAGCTGAATCTTTGCTCTATAGTATGATATAGCGACTGAAATTTTTTAACTCATAAACTTTTACAAATAGGTGAAAATAACGAAAAAATTCGCGAGTTTTCTTCTTTTTGTTTAAACTTTGAAAAGAAGTTACGTAAAGTAATTTTAAAAATTTTATCAACTGAAATTTTTGTGCCTTCTAGTACCCCAAACTTGACAAAAAATCATAGACTTGCTGTGATAATTTCTTTATAGTGATCCGTATGTTTAAAATAATTGATGTGTATAATATATTAAAAAACCTTGAGTTAGTTTGATAATAATATATTAGCTAACAAGTGCGGGGGATCGTAAATCGGCCGAGAGTGCGGAAGTTTGGCGCACGAGGTGAAGCCGAGTGTGACAATCCGCACGATCGGCCGATTTATGACCCGCACATGTTGGCTACGATATTTTGTGTGACCGGTGCGTGGAAAGGGAGCCCTTTTAAAATCCCATCATGTGCGTAAAGGGCGACTTTTCGCGCGCCGATTGCACAAAAAAATTTAAAGAAAGTAAAATCCGTGGCAGAACAATTTTTTCTTCACTTTTTGACATAAGAAAGCTATTTAGAGAACCTACTATTTTTTAACCATTTTTTTTATCTTTTAATTATTTTGATGAGTATATTTATCTATATTAATCTATTTCTCGAATTATAAGTTTTAATTTTGTATCTTCAGGAAATATGATTGAAAAGTTTCGACGTTTACATTTAATTACCGCTAAAATTATAATTATACAACTGATAATCTTGAATTTCAATTAAGATCACTTTAAGATTAAGTGAAGGTCAACCTAGTTTTTCCAAACAAAATTACTCCAATTTTTTATATAAACCGATTCCTCGCAATATTTGGCTTGAAAAGTTTTAACGTAAAACAATCAGAAATTGAATAGTTAACGAGAAATCTTCTACTATAAAATTTGACATAACTTTATAAAAATGATAAAAGTCTCGCAAAATATTTATGTTTCGCAGATCCTTTAATGAGCTCTGCAGGCTCATCAGACTTATTTTATGTGATTATACAAATTTATCGGGACTTTTAATATTAATACCTCATCAATGACAAACATACTTGACCCAATAAATAAAAATTAAAAAAATTCATCCTTTCATTGTTTTTTTATATTGCTGATCAGATCTTATATACATATATGCGTACGCTTGTTTTTCGACTTAAGAGCAATTATTTCAGTTATCATGGCAGAGGCAATACCAAAGCTGGGTCTATTCATATCTCTGGTCGGCGCGGTCAGTAGCACCGCGCTCGCTCTTATCTTTCCACCTATTATTGAGATGATCGTCTGTTGGAACAACACCGGTCTCAGTTATTTTACAATGACGAAGGATGTGTTGATAGTGCTGATCGGTGTATTGGGTTTCGCCACCGGAACATACGAGAGCGTAACGGCGATCATCAAATCGTTCAGCAATTGAACTCGAATAATCTATATAAGCGCGCTATGTACAAATTATTTTTAATTTTCCTTTCATTATGATATGCGGACCATGACACCACCTCTTTCCGCGCGTGCCCAACTTGATTCAAATTCATATACATATACATACATTTTTTCAGATTTTGCATGTTCGTAGAACGCGCTTTAAGGTTCAAGTAGTATTAAACATCCTAATAATGATAATTTATGCGTGATACTGATAGAAATAGCTGATTAAATGTAATGATTGTGGAATGGCCAATGATTGTTATTAATAGCAATCGTGTTATTAATGATAATCATTCAGACAACACAAATTTTGATATTTTTGTTTGTGTTGTTTGGATATCGTACCTTGTGTGTGCGTTAAAACTTCAATATATATATATATATATATATATATATATATATATATATATGCGTTTTCATGTTTAGGCTTCCACTTGTAATAATGAATTGCAGTACAATAACGTAGTTTGCATGACGTAAAAATGAATAGATGAATAAAAGTGCGTTGATCTTTTCAATTGTATACACGCGAATTTTGCAACAATGGCGCAACTGAGACATTACAGAATATACAGAAAAGAGACATATTTAGAGACATAGTCTCTACATATAGTATTTGTTATATCTTTACATAAGATTTTATTTATCGAATTGTTCTTGTTTTAATTTTTTAAAAGTATATAGAATATATATACTGTTAATCAGCGAAATTAATCAATTCACAATACGATTCAATAACAATTGAACATTTAATAAATAAAGCGATAATTATATGTGTATTAGGAATTAGAAATATTTGCGTCAATTACTGCTAAATTTTTCGTCAAAATAAAATTTTTTCTCACAGAAATGTATTAAAAGCGGACAAGATTATATTTTCAATATTGCATGTTATTGTAAAGCAAATTGCACGATTCAAATGTTAATTTTTAATCTTATTTGACCTATATGCGAAACAAAATTATTTTGTTTATGTAGCGTTTTATTTTAATTATAAGGTATATTTATTTATGTGCCTTAGGAGGCTAGTTTCACAAACATTGATATTATTATTTTAACCGTTTTCTCTATATCTGTGATGACAGAGTCAGATTTAAAAGAAAGAGGAAATAAAATTAATAAATTAATGTAGGTGAAACTAATTCTCATTGTCAGTGTGTCGATATTTATATGAGAAACAAAACGTGGACGAGAAAAAATCAATTTTTAGTTTCATATTGTATATTGTTGTATTATAGAATAATATGTTCTCTTTATTGTTAACTTTATATATGTATATGTGTAGATATGTATATATATGTATATGTATGCATATATACATACATACAAAATGCATACATATTTACACATATACATAACAAGCTTACGAAACAACAAATGACATCATGAAAAATGAATCAGCGACTATTTACAATATTGAGATACCCTAGTATCAATAGTATTTAATTTCTTTATAATTGTAGAGTTTAATGAGAATTCTTTGGAAATTAATTATTCTTAAAAATTAATATTCTTAAAAATTAATTGTGTGTAAATAATTCCCATTATTTAGGCACAAATGATAATAATTCGTTAAGCAAGCAAATGCGTTTTTAATCATTTTTAATTGTTGATATTAAAAAGCACTTCTTGTAAAAAATCTATATCTTTTATTCACCGTTGATTATCGATCTCGACGTAATATATGTATACATGTATGTAATATCAAATTAAAAGGTCTTTCCTTAACGATAGTTACTGTAATATCGGTTCGATGTATGACGTTGTCGCGTATCGTATTATGGAGTACAAATTCACTCAGGAATGCTTGTGTTAAAGTAGGTACATATTTTCTTCCTTAAAGATATTTAATAGAGCAGCGTGTAAAATATCTTTCTTGTTTTTTTATTGTCAGTTAGATTCTGAGAGAGGTTGATGGAAGATAAAAGAATATACAATCAACATATGGCACAACGAATTATTTATTCATGTACCATGTGTTTTTAATTAATTTTTATCAACAGACGAAATAATGACGAATGCTAATCAGAATTAATATATAAATTTAAAGTATAAGACAGGCGATAAGAGTCAATCGCGGAAGACAGTGCGTTATCCCAACGAAACTAAATTTTTTCGTTAGAATTAAATATCTGTGCACAAGACACCAAATTTTACTTGGTCACTGCCAAGATTTTAAAATATGAAATAATCTCATAATTTGAGATTTAATTTCAATAATCCTTTAACCCCCTACGGAAATAAATAAATGCAAGAGAAAAGTCCCGGCAAGCGAAAGGTCTCGGGTTCGATTCCCGATTCAGCGACTTTCGGATCTATATTTTTCTTTTGCATTTATTTATTTCCGTAGGGGGGTTAAAGGATTATTAAAATTAAATCTCAAATTATGAGATTATTTCATATTTTAAAATCTTGGCAGTGACCAAGTAAAATTTGGTGCCTTGTGCACAGATATTTAATTCTAACGAAAAAAATTTAGTTTCGTTGGGATAACGCACTGTCTTCCGCGATCGGCTCTTTTTATCGCCTGTCTTATACTTTAAATTTATATTTATATGACAGAGCCTTGTTAAACTCTTAACAGAATTAATATATTTTAGTTGGACATGCTGTTGAATATTTGACGATTTCTGAGTAAAAATTTAATTTTCATATTTATATTATTATACTATTCTTTTATGACAAAAAATTTAGTTACTAAGGAATGAAGTAAATGAATACAAATTATCAATACATTTCTTACTCATAAATTTTAGTATGTCCAACATAGCATTTTGAATCAAATAATTTAGTTTATCTTTTAAGTTAAAAACATTTAACATAATTATAATAATATTATGTCGATAAAATTTAAAGATTAGTAATGCAACAGTTGTTATGTAATTTAATTTAAGCAATGCTCTATGACTTTATATACATATTACTATTGTGATTATAATAAAAGTACTCTTTTAATATTATTACTACGATACATAATACAAAGATATCGAATTCTTAATAATATATGTCATATAAGGTAAAATAAGGTAAGCAAAATTTATCTTTATATTTTTTATAATTATAATTAATTATTATAAATAATATATTATTATAATTTATAATAATTAATAATATAATAAAGCACATTTTCAAAAACTTATTTAATACATAAAGTTATCATCACATTAATTGATTATTTTTTAATTTTTCGGTTACAGTTAATGTAATTGCCTTAAAGTCATGATTTTTTAAAATTTGAAATGTGAGCTTTGTATTAACCTTGTTAAATACAATTACATTTTAATACAATATCAATACGTGAAAACTTAATTGAAACAATAAAACTGATAATTTTATGTATACAAGAATTTTTGGTCAGGTTTGTATTTTTAACCACGTCAAATATGTTATCAGAATTTTGACAAAATTCTTGTTAAAACTACGTCAAATATCTAAGTGATTTACACAAGATTTAAATTTTTACAATTTTTTTACCTCAAAAAAATTACAGCTAAAAATTATTCAAAAAACCTATATGTTATTTAAATATACAAATAAATCAATGGGGTCCGTGAAACCTTTTAATATTGAGCTATAGGGCTCGCGTTGCGATGGTATTTTTTTCTAGCCATTTGGAATGTATTGGACAACTGGAAGCAAAATAATTCGTTTAAGTCCAAAATAAGCGCTAGTCTAATACACATTATATATATATATATATATATATATATATATTATATATATATATATATAATATATATATATATATATATATATAGTAATATAGTATATCTCAGCTAGAAATGAGATTTAAATCGACGTCGAATTGATGTCGCGAATTGGTCGAATCGATATCGATTCACTTAACGTCTATTCGACCGATCATTTCTGACTGGGATCCAATCGAATGCAATAAATAAATGTTATTTAATAATTAAAGAGTGAATTAAATAATTACAAAATTTATTAATAATAAAGTTATATAAATTAAAAGCATAATATTTTGTTATTTTTATTTATTTTTTTATTTATTATAATAATCCTTGCCTTTCGGCTTAGGATGGCTTCCGATTTTACATATACCTTTATATTTATACATAAATAAACTTTTACAAATTTTAAACAATTCCTAAATGATAAATGATAACTAATAATAATAATAAATGTTACATTTGCGCTAATTACATCTGCATCTTATCTCCATCTTTGGCTTTAATGTGTGACGACCCATTAGTGGTCGTCACTAATTGCGCCGGGCCGGACATCTGCCCGACGCGCCGAGCCGACCATCCGCCGGTCGCGCGATTCATCCCCTCCGAGGGGATGCCCGCTACGCGAGAAGAAGCGCGTGGGGGGAACCGCACTGGTATATAAGCCGGCTCGTCCGAACAGCCGGCACCAGTCTTGTCCCGAATCCTGATCCTAGCACCAGGTTTCTGGGTGTACCCAAGGCTTCCTAGACCAGATCCAACGACAGTCGACGAAGACGAGAGTACCCTCTTCGGAGCCTGGGAGTTCCCGGCGTTCGACTTTCTTGTCTACGATCGATGGAGGTGGGTTTAACTCCTTCGCTGCCTGGGAGTACCCGGCGTTCGGTTTCCTTTTTCTGCGACCGACGGAGGTGGGTTTAACCCCTTCGCTGCCTGGGAGTGCCCGGCATTCGGTCTCCTGTGTCCGGCCGACGGAGGTGGGATTGACCCCTCCGCTGCCTGGGGGTACCCGGCATTCGGCTTCGTTCTCCGGTCGGCAGAGGTGGGCGTGCCCCCTCTGACGCCAGGGTATACCCGGCATCCGACTCTCCCGCAGCGCGCCGTGCCGCCGCCCGCGGCCCCGCGACCGCGAGATCGTTCGTCCGTCCGCGCGTTTAGATATAAGTTTGTGTGACCGTCCGCTAGGCTAAGTGTATATATAAAGTGTAAATAATCATTGAATAAACCATTTGTGACTTTGAAACCGTGTACGCAAGTTTGGCCTTCCGATTCCGAATCCTGGTTCCGGCGAGCCGTCCGAGGCTAACCGAAATCCGTACCGTTACATGGCGCCCGAACAGGGACCTGACGCACGGTAGGCCCAGCTTGCGTATCACTGAATGAGCAGTGCGTGGGTACACTTGCTCACAAAAGATCAGGTACTCCAGGAGCTAGATCGACACAACCTTGACTCGACCGCTCCGCTGGACACAATTAGAAAACGCCTTCGGAGACACCTGAGCCAACATCCAGAAATCATGCCGGGGACTAGCACGCAGCAGAAGGCTGCCAATTTAATCCCGCCAACAATCATAGAACCGGGGGACGACCAGATGTCCGACGAGGAGGACGCTAGCGGCAGCAAAACCACAGTGGCCCGCCGAGCGCCACGATCCCGCCAGGATCTACCAGTACCCGACGGGATGAAAACGATAAATCAGATCCGAAAATGGAGTCACTTCTTTGAGGGTAAAGATCCACTCGCCTTCCTGGAACGAACAGAGAAACTCCGAGTCAGTTACGGCCTCGACCCCGACCATCTGATTACCGGCCTGCCGGAATTACTACGGGGCGACGCCCTACTGTGGTATCGGAACCATAACGAAGAATGGGATACCTGGGAACAGTTTATTCAGGCGTTCCGTACCCATTTCCTACCGCCCGAATATCAACGGCGGATGAGACGGGAGATTCAAGGGCGGCATCAACGACCCGGGGAAACATTCCAAGCATACTCAACGGCCGTACTGACCATGATGCGTCAAGCCGGCGGGTACACGACCCGAGACAAGGTCGAGCAGGTTTACGAAAACATGGACCCTGAGTACCAGCTGTACGTTCCCCTGACAGACCAGACCAGCCTCAGTGACCTAAGCACGAGGGCCGCCCAGTACGAGGCTATCACTCAGAGGCGGAGAGCCCCGCTCAGCCCAGGGCCACTGTAGCCGCCGCCACGTATAATCGAGAGGAATACTGCTGGCGCTGCAAACAGCGGGGACACACCCGCCTAGACTGCAAGCGC